CGGCGACTTCCCCGACCTTGGACAAACATGTTCTGTCTCGCAAAGTCTAAGGCTGCACCTGTATTTGTGCCACCGCCTCTGTAGGGCAGGGTTTTGATGTATCGCAAAACCTCGGCCTTTTCTCTAAAGCTGTTCAGATACACCTCAGCTCTTGGGGCGTCGCTGTACATGACGACACCAGTCCTCACTTTATTAAGGCCAACATCCAAACCTTCAATTATCTTGGAGACGAAGCTCTGGACCAGCTGAACGTTTTGTGTCCCGATGCTGGTAGACTCGTCCACAACAAATACAATGTCGGCCACAGTGGCAGACTTGCAAGCTGTGAAAAACAAAAGAAGTGTCCTCAAAATGAAGTTAAAAGTTTAACAAAAGGATGAGTGTGGATTCAGGAAACATGTGCTGATAGTTTTGAGGAACCCGAACTATAACCTTGTCTTAGTTTTAACCGTATCCTGGCCAGAACCCTGTTAAAACCACTTCTCGAGGCAGAACTTGCTGAGTACCGGACGAAAGTGAACATGCTCGCCAATTCTCAAGGCACATTGGCATCACGAAATCAACCCAGCAGGCGTTTTCAGAATCAACAGTGAAACATGGACCAGAGGACAGCAAGTGGAAACTACGCAGAAGTGTATTTAAAAACAGGAGAAGGATTGACAGGTTACTCAGCCATTTTGTTGAAACCCAAACTGGATTCCTTCAAGAACTGGATGGAAGAGATTGCCAAATGGGCTAGATGGTCCTGCAGCACTTAAAAATAATAAGTTATTGTTAAGATTGTACTTAGAAATACTATAATAATTTTTCTCTTGCCTTGAACGAAATCCCACCCTTCCACTGGTGGCCAGTTTGTTAAGAATGGTTGATGGACTGTGGTTCGTTAACAGCAAGAGAACAAGTAAAGTTTAATGTGGTGGCATCATGGACTCATCTTCCAATGAACACCATATTGAAAGTGTATTTTCATTTAGCAATTAATAATCTTACGTGACTGAGTCTAGAAAGTTAAAAAAACAATAATAAATCTGGTTTAAAGGAAAGAAAAATACCTACCAGTATCCTGTGTGTTAAACAGGTGAAGGCAAGATGCAAAAAAGAAAACCTGCGGAAAATGTCTCATCATGTTGAAAATTGGTCTCTCCTCCGGGAAAACAAAGCATGGGTAAACGTGAAATAAACATTGTGAAATATCAACTATCAGAATGACCATGTACAGAAGATTTACAGTGTGAGAACTGTGAAATGCATGACCATTCACAGTAACACAACATTGTGCTAATTGGCAGTTCTAAGAACTGCTCTTAATTCACATTTCTTACATTTGAGACCTCTACGCCAAGCAGAAGCATCACTGTACAATTCCCAGCAAGTATGACTATGAAGCGTGTCTGAGTTTGAGGTACCCCAAGAAGGCACCCTTACAAGGCCAGTGAAAGCGTGAAGCAATTCCCTAATGAAATTCCTTAATACTATCCACCATTCCCTACTGAGTCTAAAGTCCATCACATGGAATAGGGCACTGCTCCAGAATGTAACAGTGTCAGTGTTGCTACTAAAGAAGCCCGAGCTAAATAGAATTATACAATCAGCCAAAGGAACAGTAAAATAAAAAGGTGAACACTCACTCAGTGCCCTCTAAAATATCTCTATATATTATTCCTGCTTGCACTGCCTCATCACAGCCACAAATCAAGTGTCTCCAAAACATCCACTGTTCTCTTCTCCTGGTTACTCTTTCTTGGTTATGTCTCCCTCTTCCCTCTCTCGCTCTCCTGAAACATGCATTTCGTTCAG